GCATCAGGTAATGCAATGGCAATAGTGAAGTGGAAATGGGCATCAGATAACACAGGGACAACTAATGACAGTTCTTGGCAATAAATGTATACCATACTTTATTTGCAAAGGCCAAACATATTAGTTTTTGTTGTCTTGTGATGCTAAATGCACACTGAAAAAACTGTTTTGTTTTTTCTCACCTTTACGGAAATACTTGTACAGAGAGCGAGGAAATGAAGACACCAAACAATAACAATGTGGTCTGCAGGTAACTTGTTAACAGTCAGTAGTTGACTTCAGTTATCATGGAAGGCAACATATTGGTTGCTGATCCAAAGTAAATATAGACAAGTGTACAAGTATTTCACACAAATATTGATCCAATTTACAATTGCTTGACCAACATACATACTGTGAATTATTTGATTTCCACTGGATTTTATTTTCACTCAAATTGGTGTGATACATGTAATCTATTTCCAGTGAATTGGCATAAACCAAGTGCAAACCAGTGTAAAGTACTGTTTTGGGCCAAATTATAAATAGCGAAAATAAATTCCAAGGAGAATTATTATTCTACAGTAGCATCAATGTACAAAATATAACAGTTTAAACTGAGATGCTTTGAAAACATTTAGTTTTCAAGTTTGCAATCTTTCTTTGATACTTCAAGTAACTGAATTCCAATAAATTAAGGGTCTATGCATTACATGCAAGTATCAATGTATATCATAAATTGCAGACGTAACTTCATAACATAGCTAGTAGACAGACTCCTTGGATCAGGATTTATATACAAGGTGCATTTAACTGCATTCAGTTACAACAGTCTGATGTCAGCATAAAAACTAAATGTGAGATGACATTTTTTTAACAATCTTTGATTGTCTTTTATGTATATAATATAATCTCATTATTACTGGTGCAATGAATTATTTTTAGATCTTGACATTATTAGCACCAACAATGAACACTAAATCTGGGTAGGCCCAGCCTTAAATTAGAAATGAACAATTTTAAACTTGAAAAGGTTAGAGCTCGGAAATTGATTATACAAAATCAACTGGTAGCAGCAAAGGATAAGAAAAGAACCATTGTTAATTTTATGGGAGAATAGCCCATGTATCTACTGCATATTTTTGTTTTTGATTGACGTGTTTTAAATACCACAATTGACCACATTAGCGCCCATTGACTTACATCAGACAATCTTGATTTTTAAAGGATGGGTACTTATTAGAGCACCCTCTCAGAAAATAGTCAAAATGTAAATTTTTGCTCACTACGCAACATATTGTTTTAAAACAAGAGGAAAATAAAATATTGTTTTATGAAACAATTTGCATCATCATCGATTTTAACACGATTTTTACAACAAATACATATGTTCATTAAAAAAAGGTACATTACAATATTATTTACATATCAGAATTTATGATGCAAGAATTATTAGAATATGTGTAAAAAACAGTTGAAGTCAAGATAGCCATCATTATCTTCATTGTTGCATGTTTTCAATCAACGCAAATGCGATGCATTTCCCACTATGATGATTCAGTGCATAATTCGACAGGAAACATCTTATGACCTGAACGGTTTAGTTTGTTATTAAGAATGCTGGGTCATAGTGATACAATTCTTCATGAATTCCTGAATATTGATGATGGCATTTTTTTATTGCAATGCAAAAGTGAATTACCAATGTTGAAGTGAGATCTATTGGCATTGAGCTTACAAAAACACTAAAATGGGCATTTGATGATTCTGTGCAACATGATCTGATGGACATTCATGTTCTTTAGGAAAATTTATTTTCCTTCAAAAATTCAACTATCGTACAAATATTCCTGTATTTTTTTTTTATATACGATGGACATCGCTTATTCTGAACAGTAAAATAATAAAAAATGGTTACATGCCTAGTCAGACATATTTCGGCATTTTGGAGGTGTGGGCGCTTTAGGGAATTTAACTCTGAATATAACAAGTATGTGAAGGTGAAGAGTGTACATTTTATCTGGACACAGGCGTTAATAGAGTCAAGTGTGGTACATGTAATATCAGGAACAATCATCGATCTCAACATCATTGTTGAATAAATTATTGGGTTAAACTGTACAAAATGAAAAACTGAAATTTGCTGGCACCAGCACCCAACTATTTTAATAGATCCTAAGATGTAAACAACTGTTTCTTCAATTATATTGACATGTTGTACACAGTTGTTTGGTCAGACCGGGGGTAACTACACAACTTTATACAACTGTCCCACTAGCATTGTGTTGTGACATCCCCTGAAATAAACAAATAAGTAGAGTTACAATAATTAACAACTTGCTTGCAATTGCTAGTGAGTGATAAGAGAAAGCAAGTGAAGATGTATTAATGAAACAACCATCAAAATGAAGATGTAACCGAAATATAATCAGAGACAAAGACTTTAAATTTGAATTGCAGTTTACAAAGTGACCTTTATGTACATCAATGTTTAATGCACTAAAATTTAACAAAATAAATGCATCCAGAATGGCAGAAATGCATCATTGGGATAAGTTTTACTCCTCTAAATTGGATTGTATAATGAATATATGTGTTGAAGCGGAACTTCACAACTTGGCATTCATTTTGGACAATTGCTCTGAACATCCATCACAAATACTACACGAATACTCTGCCAATACGAACGAATCACCACAAACCAAACAGAAAATATGCTGATTAAACAAAGGTAAACAAGGTTTATCATGACAACTAATGCATCAAGCATATTTTTGATCCAGCACAAATTCTGAACTCAGTGTCAAATGAGTGATGTCAGTACCATTAAAGTCCTAATATAAACTGCATACGTAATAGTAACCGCACCCCCAATCCCGGCTTTGGGGTTAAAGAGTTCTTAACAAAACTTGAAAAGTATCTATTACTAACTGCACCCCCAATTCAACAAGACCGTGACTGACTTCATTGTTTCAACCAGCTGGTCCAAACGGCATTGTTCCTAATCCTATTCATTTGTTTTGACAACGTGATCAGATGCAGATACGCAATGAAACTGCTTTTGTTCTGAGGGCAACCTCAACCTCAATACTCTTTCTGAATACGTCTGTGTTTCGTAGGTTTCGACAATGAGCTGTTATCATCATAAAAGTGTTAAATTCTACTTCAATGCTCAGTGTATCTTTCGAAAACAAATAATTTCTTGATTTAAAAAAAAAAATCAAGCTGTTTTCCCAAGGAAATCAAAGCCAAAAGATCCCACTACATTATCAGTAAAATATTTGCCAAAATTAGAGAACTGAAGATATCGCCAGAAAAAAAATGAACAAATCGGACAGAGGTTCACCCAAGGTGCTTATATAGCAAGCACCAAAGCAATTGAGCTGATAGTTTTCAAGAACAAGCCGAATATGCAATTTTTGACAGACGAACAGATGACAAAATCCTCGAAAAACAAATTCTGCCATTTTGAATCAAACTACTTTGAACAAAATCTGTCCAGGAAATGACGATGACACACCCATGGACATGATTTTGACTGACAGGGACTAATAAGGTTATTACAAAGATAGCACAAAGTATGCACTCAGACAGTACAGTAGACAATCACATCAACCACTGCTACACGTCAATCGATATTATTTCTATGGACCCCTCAGAGTTATCATCCTTTGTTTTCACCATGATGGTTGCAAGACGGTGAAAATGCCTGGATGACCAACCCAAAAATATGGTCTTTATACATACTAGCAACATCCTTGTAATAAACACACATTACCTCAACTATTACCGGTGGATTATGAACATATAAATTACTTACCACTTTCCCTGGTCTTGCCCAAGTACATACAAATCCTTCCTGACATGATGTGACAAGACAGTCTTCTCTAAACACTAAAGCAGTAAGTCTTTCATGAGCTATCTTTTTCACAACTAAAGGTTCTAACATTGGAACTTCATCTAATCTTGGGCACATAGGAGTTCCAATGGCCTTCATGGCATCTTCTATAATACACCGATGCATTTTACTTAGCGAATTCAGTTTATCTCCACTTCTGCTTGATACACTGTTCTTCTTATCTGATTTGTCAAGTTTATCTTTGTGTTTGTCAGAAAGATTAAGCCCAGAAATTTTACTGGTTAGATTTGCCATGGTACCAATACCATCTGTATGTGATGTTGCATTTGCATTTAGCCGACTTGTATTTGCTATACTATTGCACCTAGGTGGGGTGGGATTCACTGGGTTTGTATTAGTCCTTCCACGACTCAGAGGCTGGTGTGGATATAGCACATCTTCAGTGAGGTCCCACAGACACATTTGTGTATCTTGCCCAGCAGATCCAAACCTATAGGTACATGTAAGTGGTCTTGTTTCATCAGGGTGGATTGCTGAGGCTCTACTACCAGCTCTGTCTCTAGCATCACTGCTATTTACAAGCGAATTAAAATCATCATCACTACCAAAGAAGTCTGCATGATTATTTTGAGTCTGTGTCAAATAAGAGTCAAATGCAACAACACTAACCCATGATTTGTGTCCACGTCCTCTGGCAATAACTTTGCGTTCAAGGAATGAGTAGACAGTCACTAAGTCATCTTCACCTCCAGTAACAATATATTTACTATCAGGACTCCAGCAAGCACACAACAATCCACCAAAATAACTTTTCATCTGAGCATGTAAATCCATTGAATCATAATGAAATATGCGTAGAAATCCATCTTGTGACACAGTTGCTAAATAGGTTGCATCTGGTGAGAAGGCAAAGTCATTCAAGGAGCCTTCCCCAACAACCCAACGGAACACCGGATTGCGTGTAGATTTACTTTTACATGTGTAAATTGCATATCCATCACCATGCTTATGAGTTTGATAATGAGGAGCAGCATTGCCAGCAGCAAGTTGCTCATTGTAAAGATACATATTGCCACTACTGTGGGCTACAAGGAATAAATGTTCTGATCCTGGAACCCACCTTAGGCATGTAACCCTGGTTTTATCAATAAGTCTCTGTGAAAATATAACACAAATATGGAAAGAAGGTTAAGGTAGCGGAATAGTTTTTTGGGCACTTTTCACATTTTTTTTTGAAAATCACAAGCATAGCTCCATAAGGCATGCCACATACATTAGTGTATTTATTTTATTGAAAAAATAATATCTTGTACAAGTAAACTGGTTTTTTCCTTGTGTGCAAACAAATACCCAAGTTTTTTGTTTATCCAGTGTACACCCCATGAGTGCTTCTCATTAATATTCATGGTTAACAAACATAACTGAACTGGGGCTAAGCTATTTACAAACAACTGATAAGATATCTGTTTGTAGTTTACACACAGCTGATAAGATGTGTGCACTGCTTCGTTTCAAGAGGAGGAAGCTGTACAGCAAAAACAAAAACAAAAAACACTTTCGAAACACAACAAATTTTGTATAAACAAAATAGTACATGAGTGTATCACATGTTACCGGATTTTGCCATAAATTCGCCCGGGCCGTTTAACGGCAGTTTGGTATTTTTTAAGATTTTTAAAAAAATATTTTGGGAAGACAAATTTATGTTCTAAATGTTATTTTAATAAATCTGTTGTCAAAATAAAAGTACAATGTCACAGTTGGAGATTTTTAATTTTTTTTTATTTCTGTTTGATACATTATATGCTTTTTACGATCAGATCAGGGGCCTTGACCCTTACCGAGTTCCGTGTTGATTGACATTCAACGAGATCCGAATTTTTAATTTGATGGCTGGGTTTGAATATATCCACTTTTACAGTGATCAATATAAGCGTTTGGAAATAGCATAATTATATTGCGTGAGTGAAAGAAGCCAGTGAAACAGCGTGTTCTATTTATTTCTAACGCGCGTGGTCGGCGTCTTTGATTGCGATTGTTTTGTATTTTTGTCTTCGAAATGTATCACTGGCTGCGTTTTTTTTTGGGGGGGGGGGGGGGTCACGTCTCGCAACTGAAAGTCCAAGCTGACTTTGTTTTGGCTGTAAAACTAAAAGCCCCCAACGTC